GTTTGGAAATAATTAAATTTTGATGCTATAATACATTACATTTTTGATTATACTTACAAGTGTTTGCTATTAAATCAAATGGTTGCAGGTTTAATGCCTACTTTAACCATATAAGCGATAATGAACGGAAGGCGACGTTAAATTTTTTCTTAAATATCTTTTCAAATATTCTTGGTGCTTTGTTACAAGACAATTAGATCTTTTTGGAGCACTTTAATAACGTTGCTAAAATATATATTTTTCATTATTCATCAGTTATATAAAACAACTAGTAAATATAAATTGCCCTGTTTTATAAATGTATTAGCAAAGGCATTTTCTCAAAATATAAATAGTTACAGCATATAATTAATAGAGGATTTATCGTTAAAAATTTAATTAATGATACAGCCAAAGATTTATAAAACTCAACCATCAATCTGTCCCTGTCACTGCTCATCTCTTTGTGTGTGTTTGTGTTTATGTGTGAGTGTGTGTGTATGTGTGTGCGTGTGTGTGTGTGTGTAAAACTTAGTTTAAAGAAATAACCGAACTGAATTTCAACAATACTTTTTATATAAATTAATAACTATTTAGAGTGGCATTATAGCAAATATTGTTTTAATGGATTTAATGGATTTAAACGAATACTGAGTAGACCAATAGTAACAGCCGCTATAAATGGCTAGCCAAAAACTTTCCGACATGTTAATATAGCGGTAGCCTTTTTTGGTGGCTGCCACTATTGGTCCACTAAGTAACTGATGAGCAAATCTCTAACTATTATTTAGCTATTAAATGCTTACTACTATTTTAATTATTAAATATTGATATTACAATATAATTAAATAATTGAATATTGCGATTACATTTTTTGAACCGCTAAAAAAATGCTTATTACTAATTAAACTTGCCCGATAAATAAAAGCACAACTCAAAACGCGTCTGGCAAATTATGAAGGAGGTGTCTGGAAAAGTTAAACCAAATACAAAGTTACTCCAAAATTTTATACAAACTGACTACAAATTAATAAACTCAAATGATATTGCATTTGAATTTAACAAGTTTTTACAAATTTCGGGACACAATTTAGCAATAGTATTTCATTCATTAAAAATAAATCCTTAGATGAGTTCACCAATAAACTTTATTCTAAATTTTACTGAGTTAATTTTTAACTTAATTTTTAAAATTAAAAATTCAGTCAATTGTATTTGAAATTGCTTTTAAGTCATTACACGAAATAAAGCTACTGGGTTTGATGATATTAACACAGATATTGTGATTGACTCCTACGAAGTTATAAATAATATTCTTTATAAAATAATCAGAACATCCATTGTACAAGGGCCTTTTACAGATAAACTAAAATTAGCAAAGGTAACTCCAATCTTTAAGACAGAGGATTGTACAAATATAACAAATTACTGCCCTATTTCAGTTGTTCCAGTTTTTTCAAAAATTTTAGAAAAAAAAATGTATAATCGAATCTACTCTTATCTTGTTGAAAATTCTATACTAAAACCAATTTGGTTTTAAAAACAAATACTTCACCGATTCTTCAACTTACGCGCAATATTGTTTTACACTAGGAACGTTTATTGATTAGTCTAAAGCATTTGAAACAGTCAATCATCAAATTCCGTTAAAAAACTTATATCATATGGTATTAGAGATAAAACCCTATTATGAAAGTTATCTTACTAACCGTAAACAGTTTGTTCACAATCTAGATTCTATATCTCATCTATTAATGAATATAACACGTGGTGTTTCACAGGGATTCATATTTGGTCCACTTACTTTTTAATATACATAAATGATTTTCATAAATCATCAAACTTATCAACAATAAGTTTTGCATGTGACCCAAATTTATTTTGTCTCATAAAGATATTAATATGCTTTTTACTAATATGACAGTATATTTAAAAAAGTTTCTGTTTGGTTTATAAAAAACAGATTGTTTCTAAATATAGAAAAAACTAAATGGACACTTTTTTTATCCACCTTTAAAAAATAGAAACTGCCCTATATCATGCCAGACCTTTTAATTAATAATATAATAATAAAAAGAGAAAAAGTTACAAAGTTTCTTGGTATATATTGATGAAAATCTATTTTGGAAAAATCATATTTATAGTACCTCTAATAAAACTGCTAAATGCATCGGACTTCTCTTTAAAGCAAGAAGTATATCAAGTAAACACCAGTTAACTCAATTATATTATTCATTTATATATTGTCATATAAACTACACAAGTATTATATGGGGAAGCACTCATAGAATAAAGCTAAAAATTTTTTAAATATAGGTCCTCAGCAAATCTTCTAAAATAATGTTTGCTCGGAAAGTTCAAAAACGTGCTATAAAATAGTTAAAGATATTTTTGGTAAACGTATTAAATTCTATAGTGAATGAGAATGTTTGTGAATAAATATTTAAATAAATGCATTTATTTAAATATTTATTCACAAATATTCTGATTCAATCATGATAGGTAAAAAAAGTATATATGAACATAAAGATCCAATATATGGGTGAATACGAACAAATACATTTTCTACTAGATCATTCAAAACAATTTTAATTTATTTTTTTGTTCATTATTAAAGAAGTCAGATACATGAAAATCTTTTTCTAAAGAAAACCATATTCTTGAGAGTAATTTTATGTTGTTTCAGTCAAACAATAGAAATGAAATATCTTCAAAACTGTTTGTATTCGACCCTAAATATTGGAGTATGGTGCTTAGGTAAAATGTTATTTAAAACGTTATTTAGGAGTGTACTTTAATTGGAAACGATATTTTGAGGCGTATTTAATCATAAAAGATTATTTATGGGCGTACTTAAATTTAAAACATAGTTTTGGAACGTACTTAAAAATTTAAATCAACGTTTTAATAAACTTTGAAATAATTTTTATAGCTGTATAAGGAAAATTTTAAATTTTAAATCAGCAACTTTAAAAGATCCCCAAGTGTCAAGAAAACTTGTGTTTAGTTGATAAACAAACATTAGAAAATAAGTTTTGAGTTATTGTTGCTTTATCAAGTTAATTGTTGTTTAAGTGTTAGGTGTATAGATAAACATTTTGATTGACATTCAATTTACTCAAAAGTTTAGCACGCAGCAGAATTAAGTTTACTCTATTCCATATATTTTATTTTTTTATTTGGTATAGCTTTTAAAAACATTTTATTCTTCTATTTATCAATTAACTAGACACAGACAGATAAATTTAAAAAATTTGATTAAGCACATTCTTTTTTTCAAGTACGTACATGTATTTTAAGCTTTAAAAAAGCGGTATTTTAAGCTTTAAATAAAGCTGCTCATCAGTTTAGCACGCTACTTAGTGAGGCTAGCGAATAGCTAGATATAATTGTAACACGTAATATAATCGAAAGCGATTTGGCTACGAGGATCTCTAGCTTTTTTAAGTTAACGAAAAGCTAATGATATTTGTAAAGATAAAGTAAATTTGTAAAGACAGCGATTCGGCTACGAGGACAGCTAGTTTAATAGGCTAAAGACTCACTGGATATTGTAGCTAGAGTCATATCGCAATAAAATCGATGTCCAAAAATTTTTCATATGTAGCTATCAACTAGGTATAAATTTGTAGATATTTTGTAGCTAGCTACAAAGCTACGATATGTAGTTTGCGACACATTGCTACACAGTTGCAATATTTAAAGTTCAATTGTTCTTATAATTATAATAGACTCAACACTAAAGATCAAATTTTTGAAGATATTAGAATAAAATAAAATAAGAAAAAAAAATTGCTTGAAAATCGCTATAAAGCTAGCTAGTCGCTAGCTTATATCCCCCGGGTAGCTCCTCCTTAAAGCTTTAAGTAGAGCTTTTATAAATTTCTTTCAGTAAAAGTTGCATCGAAGTAAATTAAATTCTCCTTTTAACTTAAAATATTTCAAAAGTATAGTTAAAGTAATATGTAGTATTCTAAAAGCTCGTTTTATATTAATTTATCATTTTTGCTTAATTCTAGATTATAATAGTAATAGAAGTCTGAAAATTTCCCATGAGAAGAAAAACAATAAATCAAAAAATTATACATATTATTATAATCATGTAAACTTTCAGGAAACTAAAATATTAAAAAATTTTCTCGTAGTAAATTTTTGTTAATGGTTCAAAAAATTTTTTTGGAGGTAAAAAACATTATCCTCTTCAAAAAAAAAATATTAAACCATTAACAAAAATCTACTAAATGGGAGAAAATGCAGTTTTTTTATAGTTTCCTGAAAGTTTTCATAATTGGACTTCCGCCCTTATCACATTCACCGATTCAATTAGACATGAACGCGTTTTTCAAGTTTACAGTACGACAACTGCAAGCAAAATAACTCCTTTACCTGACTTTATTGAAAACAATAAAGAAGAAAGGCTAATAAATTTTTTTGATCAAAACAGACTAATCCTTGTTCATAAGGCTGATATCTGTGGGCAGCAAGTGACTATATAAAGATTGAGCGGTATCAGTAATTTTTTTTTTTTTTTAAGACACATCATAAATACAGGGGCGGATTATAACTGAGGCAACTGAGGCACGTGCCTCTAGCACCCGAATCTTTTGGCTCCCGAATTTTGTTAACATTCTTTTTTAAAAATGACTTTTTTTTACTTGAAACATTTAAAATCATGTATTTAATATTATGAATAGAGTAAAACTGGGTCAAACCGCACACTTATCAATAATAATAAAATAACTTTTTTAATATTCAAATTTTTTTATTTTTTCATTAAATAAAATAAAAAACATAGAATAGAATAGAAAAAAAAACATAGGAATATATAAACAAATAGTGAAATTAGTGAAAAGGTGTTCGGTTTGACCCGGTTTTATTCTACCTTTTTTAAAATTTTTAATATTTAATTGGTTATGCGAGACCGTCGCATAACCAATTAAATATTTCCTCGCTTTCCTACTGGCAAAATCAGCAATTACACTGTCAAAATTGATCTTTTTAGCTAAACCACACTCCATCGCTTAAATTCCCAAGCCAGAAACTCTACCTTGCGTCATTGTTGATCTTAGATCATTTTTTATAAGCGCCAGTCTGCTAAAAGACCGTTCAGCTTGTGCTACCGTAACTGGTAATGTACAAAAAATTCTCAGGCCAATACAAATGTTGGGGAAAAGACATATAAGTTTCAGGTCATTGATTTTATTGAGAAGAAGAAAGGGGTCTAAATCATTTTTGATGTTAACATCATGGATAAATTTCAAATGCAAAAGCTCATCAATCAGCTCCATGGAAACATCATCCTTGTATTTATTCACAAAATCCTTACTCCTTCGGCGAATTTCTTCCTCTTCGTAATGATTATACTTCCAGAGAAAGTTAAAAGTTTCGTCAATTTCATATGCAGCTTCATATCGTCTACTGATATTCCCTATAATGCAGTCCAATAATATATAAAAAACGTTTTGTTTAAAATTATTTTCAGAATTTGATAGAGAAATTTCATCAGGTGTCTCATCAGCAAATCGCTTCCTAATTTTTCGTCTAGGTTCTGGAAGTTCTTGAGAAATGTTTAAGGTGTTTGCAACTAATTTACTCTCCACCATAATAGAATCCCATTTATCTCGAAGAGTTTTTAATTCATCAATTAGTCGTTTGATGTTGGTCACTTCTACATCCAATGTAGCATTCCGTGCTTGCAAAACAAGATTGGTGTAATTGATAGCAGTAAGTACTTTGAACCATATAGCGGACATCAGGATGCATTCAAACGATTCCATATATGAAATAATCTCATTTAGATCAGCACGATTTTCTATAGCCAAATTTAGATTCCTTATATCAGCTACTGATTTGATTATACCAGGAAGGTGGGTTGCGAATGGCTTAATGCAGTCCACTCTAGCTGACCAGCGCGTTTGGGACATGCTATGAAGAGACGAACCAATATTTTTTTTTTTAAATTTCCCATCTTTGAGGACTGCTACTAAATATGTTATACAGTTTTTGCACTATCCCAAAGAAAGTTATCACTTGAGGACAACATTCAGCAGCTTGTGCACCGCATAAATTCAGACTATGACAAGCACAGGGAGAGTAAGTAGCAAGTGGATAATGTTGAAGAATTCGAGCTTGTGCTCCCTTGACTGAACCTTTTATATTACTCCCATTGTCGTATCCTTGTCCACGACAGCACATCAGTGGTATTTTATGTTCCTGAAGAGTAGAAGTAATTATATTTGCAATATCTTCACCAGTTTTTTTATTGCAATCTGCAAATTCCAGAAATCTCTCTTTTACCTCATATTTTATTGTCAATTTGTCCTCTCTTTTACCTCATATTTTCCTGTCAATTTGTCCATCTTAAAATAAAAACATTTTGCTCAATATGAGCTGTATCAGGCGTTGCATCCACAATCATTGAAAAATATTTGCATTTCTCTCTCTCATCTAATATCACATCTGTGACTTTATCTGCACAGCACTGAATAAACTCATTCTGGATATCATTTGACAAATAATGTGCTTGCATTCGCTTATGGCTCTGTTGAGAAGCTTTTACTTTTTTGAGATGATCATGTAGAATGGAATCGTAATGACCAATGAGTTCCATAATTCCCAAAAAATTCCCATTTTCGGGGTCACCAATTAGATGACTATCGCCTCTAAATGCAAGACCTCTTTCACCCAAAAACAAGATAACATCTAATACTCTACGAAGTATTCGCCTCCATCTTTCCACTTCTGTCTTTATATTATCATTTAGTAGAAAATTGATAGTTGTATTATCTCTGAGATTTTCTTCTAATCGTCTCCATTCTACATAACACATCTTATGCCCACTGCTGGATTGATGATAAGGAATTTTTTCATAAAGTTTCTTCCATTTATTGTCCTTGGGCTTGGAATATCCTGTTGGCAGAGATAATGCCGATCGATGGGTTTCTGGCATTTTAGAGAAAAGTCGGCAAGGAAAACAGTAATGTGCATTCTTTGTCTCACTCCACGTTAGCCAATCTCGTGGAATTTTTTCGCCATTTGGCATGGTAATGTGAAATAACGTGCGCGGAAATGATTTAGGCAATGCATCTTTTGGAAATTTTGTTGGGTGAGCAATGGGTCCATGATGAACAAATTTTTCTATTTGTTCAGCTTAATTAAACCAATATCATAGTTATTTGATGGAACTAGTTGGACATCATCTGCCTTGTCTTGTAATTCTTCTAGCCTTGCAGTTGATGTCTTTGGAAGAATATTTTCATTTTCGTCTATTACATTTTCTTTCACATCAGCACTCATAACTTTCCTATTTAACAATTCATCTTCCTCAATTGGCACTGGCTCTACTTCAACATTTGAGAGTTGTGACTTTATCTTGCACATCTGATCCTCAGAAACACCATCAATACGATTACAATTTATAAATCCAAAAGACTCAATCGTACTTTGAACCTTCTTGGCTGATTTTTCTCGAGCAATCTTTTCTTTTCTTTTTTGAGCACCAGATTTATGCTAGTAATGATCCATAGCTGCATGTAGTAGGCTGCCTATGCGAGGTCCTGTAACAATAGAACAAAAATTTATTAGTTAAGTTAATAAGTAAATTGACAAATTAAAATAAATGACAATTAATAATTGTTAAAAGTTAAAATAGAAGTTCAGTTTAATGTACAGTACAGTATATACTGTATAAATAAAATAGATATATGTATATAATATATATATATATATATATATATATATATATATATATATATATATATATATATATATATATATATATATATATATATATTTAATATATATATATATTTAATATATATATATATATATATATATATATATATATATAACTTTATATATTAAATTATATATATATATATATATATATATATATATATATATATATATTTATATGTATGGAGCCTGCGCAATGCACTAGCACTACGTTCGCATTTGCAAATGGTCGCTGGGATTGAACAATAAATTTTTAGAAGATTGAAAATGTTTGGGAATAACTCTTCGTCGCATTCTTTTAATGTTTGCGCTGCAGTTGAGGGACATTCTTTAGGAGGTTTGTTTTGGAAATGATGCTTCCATCGAAACAACTGTTAGGAAACAAATCAGCAGATGGTAAGTCTTCGGCATAAAATTCGACGAAATTTTGAAGAGATGTTCCTCCCTCTTCACAGAGAGTAGATGGTACAAGCCCCAAAAGTTTAGAGGAGAGGATGGAAAGGTCAGAAAATTAACTCTCCAACTCTAAGCTTATGTGGTTAAGGAATGGAATGGCGAGATTTTGATGATAATACTCCTCAGGATTAATCGCAGGAGCATTGTTGCGCATTATTTGACGTCTAGCAGTCCTCGGCTTTGTTGGTTCGGTGTTGACAGAATGTGCCATTCGTTCGGCTTGGGTGTAGACACGCAAAAATTCTTCGTCTATGTTTCTTAAAATGTCTTTATAAACAGATTTCACCTCAGCAATTTCATGGTATGCCATGATAATATCCACAGTGCGGCCTTATAGTTTCACTGTTATTCCTTCCAAACGTGACAGGAATTGGTACATAGTCAAGAAACTTATAATAAAGTCAAAAGAATTGTCATTGTCTCTGGATGTTATATCCCATGTTACATTTGTGAAATCTTCTCCGCATGCATCTTTGTTCGCACCATACGCAATATATTCCAGAGCGATAATTACGTAGCAGTATGCTTGTATGAGTAATGCCGTGAAGACCATCTTGTTCTACATAGGTCAATGAGACCATTTCTGGGTTTGGAAATGTCTGGTAATGTCTTTATGATGATTGATTGCAGAAGAATCTCTCGCTTTGGACTGGCAAGAAAAAACAGACAACAGTTCTTCAGTTTGGCAATGATATTTCTTGTATTTGTAAGAGAACACGAATGGGCTATAATAAGATTAAGGCAATGTCCACTGCAGTGGACATATATAGCCTTTGGAGAATCATTCTTTATCTTCCTCTGAATACCTACATTATCACTGGACATATTTGCAGCTCCATCGTATCTTTGACCACAAATGTTTTTCCATCGTATCTTTGACAACAAATGTCACCTCGTCTGCAAGAATACTGTAGAACGTAGCAGCTTTTATTTATTTAACCAAGTCACTACGGATAATATCGAATCAAATAATTGTTATAATTTCGTTTCGAATACGCAAAGAAGTGTACTTCGCATTTTGATTACTGATACCAATATGGGAAAGATGCTAATTTAGGATTTCATCATATTTTGCAATAATTTGGAGGGCTGCCAAAAAGTTACCCGGGTTGTATTTTATCGAATTATCAGATGCCGACAATGTTTCTTCATCACCTCTCAGAGCAATGCACTGTCTTCCGCAGAAAAGGATTGCCTTAGCTATTGTTTTTACAATGTGTCAATTTCTTTCTATGTTAATCTCTCTTTCTTCATCAAAACGAGTATCACTGTTTTCATTAGGCTTCTTGATTGAATTACAAAGCGTCTCTGACCAAATCATTGCATCGCGGTGGCTTATTTTTGTTTTATGCTGTTTTGCCTTCTCGTCTAACTTATGAAACGCGGTAAATGGTTTATTTACGAATATTCCCAAATTCTGTCTTTTGGAGATAGGAATTAATTTCAAACAATGGATACAGTATGCGCCATTCAATAATGGACTGTAGACCATCCATTTGTAATCCGTCAAGTATTTTGCCTTGAATTGACGCTTTCATTTGTGAAGAAGTTGTGACGGAAAAATATATTCTATAGGTGGCTTGAAGTAATTATTCAAGAGAAAGAACTTTTGACTATCATTAAGTGTCCTCATTGCAATACTCAATTCTTCATAACTCATTGTAGCATTCAATATTTTACCAACATCATTGGTGAAAGCGAGAGGTTTAGAATCTGATTGTTTGGTAGTACGTAATATTTTAGCGGGAGGACTATCAATAGAATCATGTTGTTTAGAAATTGCGGTATTAGTATTTGGTGCATTTTCATTGAGAGATTGAATATGATTTTCAGTTTTTTTTTGTACACCATCCATTTAGAGATTGACAAGTTTTAGCTACTGATATTTGTTTTCTTTCATTTTGCTCTTTGCGCCCCATAGTATATGAAGAGTCACTGAGTGTGGTCCAGGAAAGTTATTTTCTGAAAAAGAAACAGAATCAACTTATATGGAAATGCTCTCTGTATATGTTTTTTGCATAAAGAAATATGGATTTTAACACATTAAAAATCTTTTTCTGTGTCATTGATATTTACCACACAGAAATGAATAGAATCGCAATGCATGATTATTTTAAAAACTATTTCATAAGAAACTAGTTCACTCAAAAAACAATAGTTCTATTTACAAATTGACCTTTCTTTTAAAATTATGTAAAGGGAGGAACTGTACCACATATGCAGAATCCATTTTGAATCATAAAAAAACTTAATAATGTATGTAATTTCTTACATATGGTAGATAATAATGGGCCGTGTATGCTTAAAGACGCAAAGAAATCCAAAGATATACGTAGTACAGAAGAATGTATTCTAAATATCAAAATTGGAATCCAGCAGGAAAAAAAAGATCTCTAAGAAAAAAGTTTCGGATATATGTTTCGTTTACTTGCAGAAAAGTTGTTTCTTTTTTTAAATAATTTTTTAATTATATAAAACTAAAGAAACTAAAAACAAAATTGTTGTCAAGAAAAATAATAAAAGTAAGTAGAAAACACGAATATAAACATGTATACACAAGTCCGCAGGCCCGTACGCATTGGTGTTTTCTACTTACACTTAATGAAGACATTATAGTGTTCATAACGACTAGACTTAGCGACGTCAAAAGTGTATAGTACCACAGAATAGAAAAATCTAATCAATATGAAACGAAAAACGTATGCTCTATGCAGTAAAAGGTGCAATTTTTCCTATAAAAAATTTAATATTATAAAAAATGTGGACCTTTCGAAAAATAGTGGAGGGGGTGCGTACGCACCCTACGCACCCCACCTCCCCGCGTACAGGCCTGCGGACCTGTGTGCGCATGTTTATATTGGTGTTTTCTACTTACTTTTATTGTTTTGTTTGGCCTGATTATTCTTTGCTTTTCTCCTACTTTTTGTAATTTTTATTTATTAGTTTATTATGCTTTTTTATTAAAACTATTTTTTAATAACATTCATTGTTGTTAGTTTACTTTATTACATTAATGTTTTGTTTATTACGTTGTTTTTTTGTAAGCTTTTGTTTGTTTTAAGTTCTTTTGTTTTGTAAAGTATTTTTGCATTTTGTGTTTTTTGTTTGTTTCAGCTTATATCTTATTTATTTGTTTATTATTTTTGCAGTATTGTAATTGTACAATGTCTGAAAGAAAATATGAGACTGGGACTGTAAAACGAAAAAACTCTGGCTAAAGAGGCTAGAAAAAAAAGAAATGTAGCATGCTCATCTAAAATGGAAACTTTTTTACATTGTACAAGAGTTAAGATAAAAAAAAGTAAAAGTTAAGAAGAATGTGAAATCAGAGAAGTTAAAAATCAAGAACCAGTTGATCTTAAACCGGCTACAGCTGAAGCAACAGTAACACCGAACATGTACAAGAACAAGCAGTGGTAGACCTGCCATTTGTTTATGAAACTGATCTGGGTTTATGGAAAACAGTTTTATCAAACATGCAGTCTCATTTTATCAGCACCGGTGGTATTAAATGTTAACATAAAGATAAAGGATTTTTGCAATCAAAACTCTCAAACAATAGTATAAATCGAAACCGGTATTGTACTTCTTCATTATTCACTCGTCATCATAAATTAACAGGTGAGAATTCTGAATGTACATGGCTTTGCTACTCACCATCAAATGAACATGTTTAATGTTTCAACTGTTAGTTTTTGTTATCGGATATAAAAAATATTTCTCCTTTTACACAAGGGTTTAATCATTGGAAAAATGGGCAACGTGATGTTGACCTACATAAAAATAGTGCAAGTCATATATCAGCTTGTTTAGCATTTGCACAGCGACGCGGTATGATTGGTTGTGTTGATA